CGATGGCTTTCCGTGCTCAAGTCCCGAAGTGGCTACTTAGATAAAAATTATGGACGCGGCTAACTGCCACACGTGTGGCGTATTAGCCATCCGCCCACACACCATGTGTGGCGTGAGCAGAAGGCAGCCCACACGGGTTGTGTGTGGGTGAACATTAGAATTGCCCACACGTGTGGGCGCAGCTACTTAGTGCCACACATCCAACAAAGTACTACTCATCTTCATCCCGCGCGTGTGGCACGAAGCAAAGATGCCCACACATCCTGGCGCAGCTACGTTAGGTACTCCCGCGGGATGACGATTTAATTGTCATCTGGGATGGCAGATATAGTTATCCGGGGATGGCAAATGTAGTTGTAAAAGCATGGCAACTCTATCTGTTTTGGTTAACTATAGTTGCCATGTCTAATTTATGGTATTTACCACGTGTAATCAAATCATAGTTGCCGTGTGTGATTAACTACTTGTCACATATGGTCAAACAATAGTTGCAATGTGTGTTTACCTAGTTGCCACGTGTGGTCCAACCATAATTGCCATGTATGGTTAATCATAGTTGCCATGTGTGTTTATCTGGTTGCCTCGTACAAGCAACTGCAGTTGCCGTCTTGCAATGAATCATAGTTGCCATGTGTGTTTACCTAGTTGCTACGTACGAGTATTGCATGTGCCATCCAACAACGTACGGGTATTTCGCCCACACGCGCATGGACTAGGTGTTGGTTGTGTGGGCAGAAACTAGTTCGCCCACAGAGCGCAGCCGCCAAACCGCGTGCTGCGGGCGTGTGGGTGAACTCTCCAACACCCACACACCAGCCCCGTCCTACGTGACACGTGAATTCTGCCTCAGTGTGTCAAGATTCATGCAAACTCGACTGGACGGTCATCCGCGCATGTGGGTCAGTTGCAAAACTGCCACATGTGTGGGCTTTAGTCTTTCCTAAAATTATACCTAGGCTTAGGATCTCGTTTTTTTTTTCATGATGGCTTTCCCTTAAAGAAGGTCATCGCACCTCTCCTAGTTTTTTCTTGTTTCCAGTACCAATAAGGCCCACAAGCCGAGCGCATCATTCAACCACTCAAACTGAATCAAATTTGGAAGGAGAGATAAAAATAGGGCAGCACTGGGGGCCGGTGCGCCGGCCGAAAGTTTCGGCCGTTCTGCCCTCAGCCGCCCGATCTGACTGCACGAGACCGTCAAATCACAACTCCTATGCTATTTTTTCCTTACCTTATCCTCTCCAGCACGCACACAGAGAGAGGAGCGAGACAGTCAAGGCCGCCATGGATGCGTGACCGCGAAGCCCGCGCTTGCCACCTGGGCACCGCCCGTGGTCGTCGTCCTCGCTGCATGTGGCGCTCGTCGCCCTGGCCATGGCGCTGCATCGCTCATCGCCCTGGCAAGGTCGCCCTGGCAAGGGCGCCGCCCGTGCTTCGTCGCCCCGGCTGTCCGTGCTCGCCCTTCTGGCCGCCTGCACTCGCCGGAGAGCCCCGAACTGACCCGTGGTAGGAAATCTACTAGTGTTTTCTGGCTGACCGACGCTGACACTGGTTCCAGCAAAAAAACATGTGAGTTGTAGCTTTTTTTGTCATGGATGTAGCTCCACCTCACCAATGATTGACTGGTTCCAGCAAAAAACAAAGATGCTCGTTGTAGCATTTTTCCATGTCGGTTGTAGCAAATGAAACAACGGTTGCAGAAAAAAAATCCTCGTCGCCGTCATCGAGCTTGCAGCTCCACAAGGAAAAAAGGGGATGTAGCAAAATTCCTCGACGGGTGTAGCAAAAACTACAATGGTTGCAGCAAGAAAGTCGCTGTCGTTCCGGGACTCAGCTCGGCCATGAATGAATGTAGAAAAAAATGAAACAGGTGTAACAAAACAAATCACCGGTTGCAGCAAAAACATATATCGGTTGCAACAAAAAAAGAAAAAAAAACATCGTGGTCACCCTAGTCACAATGGTCGACGTTGAAGAAGAAGCCCGTTCTGGCAATTCTATGCCGGTTCCATCAATCTCTACGATTGAAGCTTTTTTAGTCAACGGTTGTAGCTTTTCCCTTTTCATAGTGCCTGGTTGGTGCATTTTTCATCTACTGTTGAAACTTTTCTATCACGGTTTCAGCATTGGCCGGCCTCCAGCTTCTGCCATCTCCGGTTTAAACATTTTTCATGGTCAGTTATATCTTTCTCAGGTGTCGGTTGCAGCTTTGCACGTTGCACAGAACTGGTTGTATCACCATGCAGCAAAAGGTGAACACTGTTTCCAGCAAAATTTACCATGGGTTCCAGCAAAAAATCTGTCCGGTTGTAGCATAGGTAGGAGCGCAGTTTGAGATGCATGGGGGAGGTGGTGAGAGGAAAAAGTGACAACACGAGAGAAGAAAAGCTGAGAAAAAAGAAAAAAATGTGACACGGAAGAGATGAGGTTCAGGCCCACCAAACAAACACATGTGCCAGTTTGTTCTCGTGTAAAAGCGCAAGTGAGTGAGGGGCGTCCGGTCGAGCGTTCGGTCGGCGCCCCGGCACCAAATGTTTCGACCGAAGTACTCGTGCACAACACCAGTGACATGCGCACACCACTCAAACATAAGTCTCTGATACCCGCAAAAAAATTAGTCTCTGGTGAAGGAAACAAGAAACCGTTCCAATAAAAAAATTACAAAGAAAATCAAACTGGGTACCCGCAAAAAAAAAATAGTCTCTGGTGAAGGAAACAAGAAACCGTTCCAATAAAAAATTTACAAAGAAAATCAAACTAGTTGATTTTTTTTGGAAAAGGGGCGCATCCCCGGCCTCTGCATCAGAAAGATGCATACGGCCACATTTGTTAAAATAAAAATAGGTCCAACAAAGGTTTGTAACTCCGTTACACAATAGTCCCCAAACGGCTCACAAGAGCAGCAAAGTAAAAGCCATAGCCGGCATGCAAAATAAAGATAAGAAAACTAATTGTTTATCCTATTACATGACCGCCATCCAAACCGGCTGAAAATAGCCCGAGCTACCATCTCCCATCGGGCAGATCCAGTAACCAAATGCTCCCTGGCCTCCGTCTGAGTGAGTAGCGACCACATACGGATCAGCGTCGTAGCTCGGAAGATGACCTGCAAAAAATGAGTATATGTTGTTCTGTTAAAAACCATATCATTCCTACAGTTCCAGACTGCCCAGAGTAAGGCACATACTCCTACACGAATGTGTTTAGCCGTTTGGGCCTCTATCCCATCCAGCCACGTCCCAAATAACGTGTTGATATTATTCGGTGGAGTAATATTAAAAGCAATGTGAACAGTCCGTCAAAGAACCTTCGCCATAGGACAATTGAGGAAGAGGTGTTTGATATTCTCGTCTTGATCACAAAAACTATATCTCTTAGAGCCGGTCCAATTGCACTTTGTCAAATTATCCTTGGTTAAAATAACTTATTTATGAACAAACCACATAAACACTTAGAATTGATGACATCTAAGTACATCGATTTAACCGTGAACTCTCCATTCCTGGTTAATTTCCAGCTCAACGAATTCGGCCGTTGAGCAAGCTGCACATCCATCAGTCTTCTCACCAGATGTAGCCAGGCTTCCCAACGCGCTCCGACAAGTGTTCTACTAAATTGGATATTAAGGGGAGCGGTCCTAAGAACGGTTGCAACCAGAGCGTCTCTCCGTTGCACGACATTTAAAGAGACGGATACTGTAGCGCGAGAGGAGTTTCCCCTAGCCATGTATCCTCCCAGAATCTGGTATCCGATAATAAACTTTGTTCTGTTGAAAAAGACCGTTTGAACTCTCATCAGCCCTTTCCAAAAAGGTGAGTCCGTCGGCCTCACTGTCACCTGTGACAAAGTTTTGGAATGAAGGTACTTGTTGCGCAGAATCTGCGCCCACGAGGCTTCTGACTCTACAGATAACTTGTACAGCCACTTGCTGAGAAGACATCTGTTTTTCACCTCTAGATTTTCAATCCCAAGACCCCCTTGGTCTTTTGGTCGGCAAATAATATCCCATTTAGTGAGTCGATATTTCCTTTTGGAATCATCACTTTGCCAAAAGAAACGGGATCGATAGAAATCCAGTCTTTTCCTAACTCCAACTGGTATCTAAAAAATGACAAAAGAAACATAGACATGCTCGTGAGGACTGAATTAATAAGAATTAACCGGCCCCCATAGGACATCAACTTGCCCTTCCAACAGCTTAGTTTCTTCTCGAATGGATTCTCAACACACTTCCACTCTCTATTTGTTAGCTTACGATGGTGAATTGGTATACCTAAATACGTAAAAGGTAAACTCCCAATTTCACACCCGAACAATTTCTTATAAGCCTCTTGTTCTTCTTTGGCTCTTCCAAAGCAGAACAATTCACTCTTGTGAAAGTTAATCTTTAAGCCCGTCAATTGTTCGAATAAGCATAACACCAGCTTCATGTTTCGCGCTTTTGCCAAGTCATACTCCATGAAAAGTATAGTGTCATTAGCGTACTGTAGGATAGACACCCCTCCATCAACTAGATGAGGTACAAGGCTACCTACTTGGCCAGCATCCTTTGCCCTACCTATTAGAATGGTCAACATGTCAGCTACGATGTTGAACAGAATAGGTGACATCGGATCTCCTTGTCTCAGACCTTTATGTGTCTGGAAATAGTGACCTATGTCATCATTCACTTTGATTCCAACACTCCCTTTTTGTGTAAAAGATTCAACCTGGTTTCTCCAAGCTGGGTCGAAACCTGAGTTGTTTGACTGAATAAGAGTAAGGAGTCTCTCCTTTCCAAACCGGTTGATGTCGTACAGTAGACCAACTCATGTACAACCAACTGTGTACTTTTTCTTAATTGTCAAAGAAAAACTGCGTACTTGTTTTTGTCACAAAAACTAACTGTGTACAATGGTCAAACGGGAAACAAGATAATCTCTCCTACTAAACTTTGTACATCGCCCGCCAACAAAAACTATATGACGGCCGATGATGGACTCGAGCTGGAAAAGGGATGATCATAGAGGAGCAGCCACATGCTGCCGCAACGGCGTGAGAAGCCTTGCAAGAGGTAGAGGCACATGTGCTTTTATCAACGTGCCGTTTTCCATGTACTCCTGCAGGTAAGATTGATTGCGCCAGGTCATAAAAATCTCAAAGTTTGCGTCATCTTTTTTTGTAGTTTATGAAATTTACATGTTGGGTTTGGATTGACTTCATAGTGGGGTACTCTGTATTTAAAAAACTGAGTTGCTGTTTTGCTTCCAATGAGCAAACAGGACACTCACCGTTTTCTCAACCATTCCAAGCTTATGTATGTCATTTAGCAGATCTCCTTTTTCATACGGAACAAAAGCTTCTATAGGCACCAGTGAGTCCTGCACAAGACGCATATTCACCTCAGATAAATTAAAGACGCACCACATACCTCAAAAGTCCAGAACCGAAACAGCTCATACTTTCAACTTTGCTTGGATTGCATTGCAGAACTCTTCCAAACCATCGCCATTCATGGCGGATATGCAGATTATCCCTTGTTTCTCGGCTTCCTCCTTCACTCTCAATGGGTTATCGGCATTGTCAATCTGCATGCCATACAACTTACTTCGGTCAATTCAGAAACATATTAATTAAGAGCAATTCAAAATACTATTTATCCAGATCTTAGGTATTTACTAATTTAATTAACAATGTCTTGGTGCACCAAAATAAAATTTTATAGAGAAGTTAAAATTAGAGCAAACACAAGCTGGAAGCTTAAAATTTGACATTTACTAACACTTGAAATTAGCTTAAAGTGATTAAATTGCTGTCAGTACTAGGTCACTTCTAACAACGAACCTTATTCCACACAACCAACTTCGGAACCGAGTCTATATCCAGCTCTTTCAGTACTTTGTCAACAGCACTTATCTGTTGTTGAGCTAATGGATGGCTGGAACACACATGACACAAACACTATGATACCTAAATAGATGCATTAAATTGAATCATAATGACGAGAATATCTTTTGTATTTCAGTTGCACACCTGATATCTACAAGATGAACAATAATTGATGATTCTGATATCTCCTCCAGTGTTGCTCTAAATGCTGCCACCTGGACAAGCACCAATAGTTAATGCTCAGAAGATCATAAAGGGGAGGAGGGTCACAATAAAGCTTGTCCACGAAGATGATGTCTAAAAAGCATACCAGCATAGTGGGTAGCTTCTGAATGAACCCGACAGTATCTGTTAGGAGGAACTCAGTGCCGCTCTTCATCTGCAAAGTGGTGCATGCACTGATTAAACGTCGTACCTTGCACAGACACTTAAAAGTGCCATATATCTAAGTTTCCTTAAGATGTCAGTTTCTTAGCAACATACCAACACCCTCCGTGTTGTTGGGTCTAGTGTGGCAAATAATTTATCCTCAGCGAGCAAATCAGCTCCAGTTAAGCGGTTCAAGAGTGTACTTTTTCTAGCATTTGTATATCCCACCTGATTTTTTTGGAAACTTTATCTATTAATAACTAATAATTAAAAGGAACTTCCTATTAGACTCAACAAAAACTCCATGGTTATACCAGAGAAACAACAGGAATAGGCACCGACCATCGACGGTTGCGATAAAGCTTTCGATGTTTTCGGACAGACTCCAATTCCTTCCTCAAAGTGCTTACCTACAGAAGATACTTAGGTTCGAGAATAATCAAATTCCAGAAAAAGAACAGGAAGTGCAACTAGAGTAAGTAACATAATTATATACAAGCTTCTCAGACATTAAGACGAGGAACTCGTGTGTAACAGTACATGGCTACAAATCATCATTTCTTCTACACAACAATGGTGAAAGTGACATGTAATTGGCGAATAGGCAATAGGTGCTTACAAAATGATGAAGTCACAGATATTACATTGCTCGAACTACTTAATAAACAAGCAATGGAGCATCTCTGGCTATGTTCTGGTTACATATATTGAACTGTATACACACGCTGATACAATTTACATGATAGAGAAGATCTTAAGTATTAAAAAATGCGATCAGATTCCATGGCACAAAAAAAAGGTACAGAACATTATTCCTCTATTGAACAATTAATGTCCTTAAAGCATTGGAGTATTTTGAACCTTGGTGGTTTCGTATTTGGAAATTCACGTATAAATTATCTAACTGTAAGAACAAGAATATTACTTGTGTTCTCAAGATGCGCTTGTCAACTTCAATTTGTTTCTCACCCATACCCTTGACTTGGCCTCCTGACTGCCGCTCAAGGTGAGTCCATAGCTTTGTCAACCTAGGAAGTTGATATTCCATTTGTGCCAAGGTGACCTAAAAAGGAAACGTCAGACGTGTGCATCAATTCCAAAGCAAATGAAGTTACTTTCCACTGTAAAGATATCTCAATTAAGTCCGCACATTAAATGTTTATGTAGAAATTTAGTCTGATGATGGTACAGAGTTGTGCACATAACTTCAGATGTTCACAAATAGCAATATAGTTCCAAATAATATGTCATCAGAACGGTGATGAGCTGGTACAACTTCGTCTCCAAGATAGTATGCCAGAGAAATGTTTTACCTTATGGCAACCTAACAGCCCAGCATACCAAGGGGCATACACTACTACGCCAGTAGTGTATTGAGAAGATCATTTTCCATGTTATCCAAATATTGGTGAGAAGTCATAACCTCAGAAAATATCTTATAGGATCACTTAATGCAGCAGTCACAGAATACCTTAAAGGACCACTTAACACCTATCTGTTATGTTTACCTACAGAGCAGCTTCATGTGTCGCTGCCCTTTGATTAAAAATGTCCAAAATAAGAGCAGTCCGGTCACAGACTCGAACACCTCCACCAAAGGACTTCTCCAAGTTACGCAGCTGTCTGCTTAAAATTGAGCAAATAATCAAGGAATAAACTCTCAAACAAGATTGTTGGAGTGTATATATGGATTGCCTAGCCCTTTCCATCAGTTCGTACTTTTGATTACGTTGTCTAGTGCATGAAGCTTAACATGGTATCAGATCCTAAGGTGTTGAATTCAAGTCTTAGATTTCATTTCGCAATATGTCCAAAATTTGTTGTTGCCCCTCTGTCTCCATGTATAGGCCTCTTGAGTCGTACCACTTAGTCTATTCATGAGTTGACTTCCCGCGTCACACGTGAGAGGGGGTGTTGAAGTGTATATGCGGATTGCCTGGCCCTTTCCATCAGTTCGAACGTTTGGTTGCGTTGGCTACTGGATGAAGCTTAACAAAGATAACTAGATTTCTCTTTTTTTCTTTGTGTTTAACCTTGGAGCGCAGAAGTGAAGATAAACAGAGGCACTAAGGGTATGTTTGGTTCATGCCATAACAATGCCCTACCAAAATTGGCCAACAATTTGCTAATTCCTTGACCATTTATTGGCCCAAAAGTTGGCAAGATTTGTGAAAAGAGTGTGAGAAAAGTTGGCGAGATTCCATAGGCAACCAAGATCTTGGCAACCAACCAAGCAAGAGTCAAAGTAACATACCCTACCATAATTTTGGTGGGATAAAATTGGACAGCAACCAAACATACCATAAATCGCAAACCGAATAAAACATAGAGTGGTATTCCCTTCATTTGGAAAAATGCAGGGCAGAGTTTGACCGTGCAAAGTTTGACCTTATAATTCTTGTACAGCATTTTTAAATTGTTACAACATTCAGTCATAAAAGGTACTTTTGAATACAAGTCCAATGATATCAATTGTGTGTAACAAACCCACATATTACTGGATCATAATTGTTAGTCAAAGTTTGATCTTGAATAGTCAAAGTACACATCACATTTCCAAACGGAGAGAGTAATAGTTTTCTCATTTCAACACAAAACAGTTCTTTGATTGCAATAGCTTCAGTAGATAAAATAAACATGTTGAGTCTGATGTGAGCTTACCCAGCAGACAACTCATCATCGAAAATTATAGTCGCAATATCAAGGGCCTGAACTGCACTCCTAATTTCCGCAACCTTCCCTGAACCAATATAAGTCCTTGGATTTGGATTTGAAAGCCTGATGAAAAGCACAAAACATGAAACCTACCCGAGAAAAAAAGATATGTACAACGTGACAAGCATCTCCAGCAATAGTCCCTGTTAGACAACGTTTATACCTAGCTTCTGTATATACCCTGTATCTTGTATTTGTACACTTCGTGTACCCTTATATATATATATATGAGATAGCCACACCCGTATTGGGTGTCGTGCAGTTTCCCAAACCCTAAATCTAATATGGTCAGCCTAAACCTACGATCCCGCCGCCGTCGCCGCTGCTTCCGTTCACCTCTGCCCGCTCGCGCAGCTAGTGCCGCCGGTGGCTTGCTAGCTAGCTTTGAAGCGATTGCTGCCCGTGGCTTGCTAGCTAGCTTTCAAGCGATCGCGCTGCTCTTTGCTAGCCTTCGCCACTGATGGCTTTTGTCCCGACCGCCGCTTCGGCCGCCCTGGCCTCTTCATTTTAACGTCTCCACCGCTGGCCTCCGTAGCCGCCGCGCCGCTACCTCCCGTCTTCACCGACGTCGCCATGTCATCGGCGCCCTTCGGCGCTGCTCCCTCTAGGCTTCCATGCCGCTGCTGCACTGCCGGTGCCCTACGGAGCCGCCGCCTCCTTCCCGCCTCCCGGCCTGGCGCTGCCGCGCCGCTCCCTCCGGGCTTCCACGCCGCTGATGCACCGCCAGTGGCCTATGGAGCCGCCGCCTCCCGGCCTGGCCCCGCCGCCGATGCAGGTGTACGGTGGGCGCGCGCCCTATGGCGCCCTGCATGCGGCCACTTCCTGGTGGGGCTATGCCGCGCCTCACGGTGGCCAACACCCGCCCGTGGCCCAACCCTACGATGTCGTAGGAACGACGCCACCCCACGGCGCTGCCCCGGCCAATCAGTGGCCGCTTCCAGCCGCGATGCTGGCCCCCTACCGGACAGCCCCGTTGGCGTACGCCTACCCGACAGCCCGGCCGACCGTGCCTCCTCATGGCACATCTGCTTCGTACGGGGCGCCTTACGGTGGTCCCTCGACGGAGATGGTGGCTTCCTCCGTGCCCCCGAGTGGGGCTTTGGATTTTTATGCGTCGGCGCCACCCTGGCGGGTTCCTGCGTCATGGGGGCGCACTCCTCCAGAGCTGTTTGGTCCTGTGCACGCCCCTCGTTTATGTGCGGTGCTGCTGGAGCATCGAGGCAGCCGAAGGAGCTTGTCGGGGGGGGGGAGGGGGGGACTCCCTCCCCACGGATCGGATGGCTCCGGAGTCTCGAGGGGCTCGTGGCTCGCGAGGCCCTTGTTGGACTTGCGAGGATGCGGGGCCTCCGGAGGTGCCTCCGCCAGGCATCGTGCCACGTGGAGATGTGAAAAACACTTGGCGAAGGACTCCTTAATGATGTGCCTGACCGTGATTGCGCTTTCCCAGGCCACCTTTCCTTGATGCTCACCCTACATCCGAAGCCCCCGAGCGAGGGTCGACTGTCGCCGGTTTGCTGGGTCACGATGCCCGGCAAGGTCAGGAGGTGAGTGCTCCTGAGGCCAGGGGCCGAAGGCAACAGGTGCCTGTTGGCTCGCTCCAGGATTGGGACGCCAAGATCTTGGCGAGGTGTGCGCACGGGCGGACCCGTGACTGTCGTGGCCTAGGCCTCAACGCCGCCAGGGCTAGCTCGGGCATACACACCGTGGCCAGCCCCCGCTCGCGGGACGCAAGGGAGGGAGAAACTGGCAGCCGTCACTTCCTTTAAAAGCGAGATTCAAGAATGAAAACACTGCAAGGAGAAAATCCCGACCCCTTTCAAATAAAGACGCGAAACTTCAAACTTCATTCCAAGAAATGGCAAATTTGGTTACAAGAGAGAATGAAAGAACAGCTGCGTCAGGCGCCTAAGCTAGTCTTCCCACCAGCGCGGAGCATGGGGCCTCCACTTGGGCGTGGGCATAGTCACTGTTCGACCGTGTCGTCCGCCAGCACGGAGCATGGGGCTTCCACTTGGGCGTGGATGGGAGCTCCCGCATGGCGGCGGACCGGCGCACCGGGAGACTCCTGGGCGCGTACAGCCCCACTCATTATTACGTGAGAGTTTCACGGCTAGAACTTGCGAATATGTTGGATGTTCAAGGCATTCTGGATGGGGACCCCGTCCTCCGTCTCCAAGCACGCGGCGCCTGGCCTGGAGACGCGGGCGACCCTGAACGGGCCCTCCCACATGGGCGATACTTATGAAGGCCCTCCCTGGAGAGGACCCGCCTCAGGACGAGGTCACCAACTTTGAGGGTCCGGGGGCGGATGTTGCGGCAGTGGTAGCGCCGCAATGCCTGCTGGTACCTTGCGGCCCGGAGAGAGTCTTGGCGGCGGGCCTCCTCTCCGAGCACAAGATTGGTCCCCCGCGAGGCATCCTGACGCGCCTCGTCAAACGCCAAGACCCGCGGGGAACGATACTTGATCTCGAGCGGGAGGACCGCCTCGGCCCCGTAGACGAGGAAGAATAGGGTCTCGCCGGTGGGCTTAGTCGCGGTGGTGCGGACGGACCACAACACGGACTGTAGCTCATCGAGCCAACCCCTGCCGCAGGCCTCGAGCTTCTTCTGAAGCTCTTGGTACTGAGGCCCCTCAGGACCACCGCGTTGGCACGCTTAGCCTGGCCATTGCTCCTCGGGTGGACCACCGAAGCGTAACATATCTGCCTTCCAACTTTAGCACAATATGACTTGAAAAGATTGCTTGTGAACTGCGAGCCATTGTCGGTGATGATGCGGTTGGGGAAACCAAACCGGCTCACGAGGCCCTTGATGAACTTGACGGCTTATCCCACGGGGATGGTGCGCACCGGCTCCACTTCCGCCCACTTGGTGAACTTGTCGATGGTGACGTAGAGGTAGTGGTGGCCCCCGGGCGCCCTGGGGAAAGGGCACAATATGTCCAGCCCCCAGACCGCGAAGGGCCACTAGAGCGGAATGGTCTGGAGCCCCTGCGCCGTCTGATGGATCTGCTTGGCATGAAACTGGCAGGCCTCACAGGACCAAACCAGCTCGGTGGCGTCGTGGAGCGCCGTAGGCCAGTAGAACCCATTGCAGAACTGTAAGTGCATCTAGTGCCACCCCTAGTTGGTTTTGGAGTATTGACGACAAACGTGGTTGAGGGACTAATGTGTTTGTGAGAATTGCAGGATAACACAGATAGTAGTCCCTCATTGATTCAGTTTACCTACCAGAGATGACCCCTAAAAATGTATGAAGACATTGAAGACAATGGTGGTTTGTGAAGACATTCACGTCGAAGATAATGACGATGAGGACATTCACTTGAAGACT